CCACTGCTGCAATTGGGTCCGGGCTTTTGTGTTGTGAGAATGTCGGGTTTAGATGGATTGTGGGCTTGGTGACACTGGGTGGGCCAAGGGGTGATAAAGATGGTTTTGATTGGGGCTTGTTGATGCCCCCTCACCCCCTACACGCCCAGGAAGGCAAGGAGAACTAGTGACAACTAGTGTACAGTTTATGAACACAGCCTGCTGCAAGTTTCTACCATCGGGGTTTTGCAGTGGGACGCCCGTGCTCTTACCCCATGATCGTCAGATCCTCATGCGCCCATGCGGGGGGTCGGAAGGTTCGGGACGCAGTCTGGCTTCGGTTGTGCCGGATAGGGTCGCAGGTGGAGTGTTGGGCGTTAGCTCTGGCTCAAGATACAGAATCTTTGCGATGCCCAACAGCACGTTCAGCATCCGAAACCAATTTGTGGGGAAACCCCTCAAGCCCCGACATTCCAATGCGCAGGTCCCCAATGGTCGCCTCTTGCAACTCCACAGGCTGGCTTTGGGGAAATAGGTGCACAGCTACTGACACGTGCAGGGATTGGTACCATTCGAAACGGGAGCCTTGCGAAGTGTCATAAGACCTATGTGCAAAGTGCCTTGACTGGACCTTGCAAAGCCAAAATGTAAGCAACACATGCTGCTGCTGCGATCAGGTGGCTCCCTCTGCCCGGGCTGGCTCCCCCCCACTTTTCTGGCGGCCTCTCAGTTCCCAGGCAGCTATGCAAATTTGGGGGGGGGGGGGTTTCGGGTTTGGAGTTTTTTGCATTCGCCATAGGAAACAGCTCTCATTGTTTTGAAGTTGGATGCTCGTAGCCGACTTCGATTGCAGACCACGGCAGTTGAAGGCAGCCCACAGTTTACGGCCATTTCTGCCCACTGCACCCAAGAGGCTCAAAATCATGCAGGAAGTTGGAAGGCGCTCTCAAACTTTCAATACGGCTCTCGCATGACTGAGATCTCCAGCTCCGAAACCTAGCCTCCTCGTCCGTCGTGTGCCTGAGCATGATCAACTCTTGCAGCATCCCTCCGCCGATCTCTACAAGCCGCTTACAAGCCAAACTGCCCCGAAGGTCCAGCCCTTCACCCTCTGAGCTTTGCCTTTGCGCCGCGGCTACGGAAGGTTTCGATATGGTTCCGGGTGTGGTTTGGCATGGTTTGGCGGCTTCGGGGCTTTGGGTTTGGTATTCTTGTGATGACCAGCCGCGCCTTGCTGTTCTTGTTGGCTTCGGCTTGGGGGCCTTCAAGGCTGCGCGACGCGAGCGTTTCACCTCGAGAGCATGATGAGCATGGCAGAAGTCTGGCCACGTTTCAAGCGCTCGGACACACTTGTGTGGGAGTTGGATGGAGTATTTCCGAATAGATAAACAACACAGGGTTAGGAGGGCAGAGTTCAGGATCTGAGAGCTTGGCAATGGTGCAGGGTTGGCGTTAGCTAAGAGGCTGTCGAGTTGATAGCTTACGGTTGAGCGCCGAGGCTTGCCGTCTTGTCATGCCTGTATGCTAGGAAGGTTCGGAGTTTCCTGCGCGGATAGTGCATGCCAGGTCCTGGGCGTCTACGCGGCATCTCTTAAGATGTGTCAAGCACCGGCTATGCGCCCAACCTCGACAAGCCCCATTTCCTGGATCCAGTCTGGAAGTATTTGGTGGGTCTCCTGGACATTCATATATTCGACATCAAGCAGGCTTCATGTCTTCGTGCGCGTTTGAGGGTAGGCTAGCGCGTGCCAGTTGGTTGCACCAACGCAGGAGGGATGTCTCGGGACAGTGTGCTTAGGATACCAAGTACACTGCAAGCCTGCTGCGCCCAGGGCTGTGCATGAACCTTGCGCACAGCTTCTTTGTCCACCAAGATGTGGTGGTTCTGAACTTTTCAAGGGTGCCGTGCTGCAAGAGGAACGCGAAGGTGAACCATACCTTACGGGAGTGATCATTGCTAAAAGCTGTATGTTCAGCTTCGGGTCAAAAGGGCTGCTTTGGGTGAGGTGTCTAAAGACTGATTGCAGAGTCTTAGTTCTGTGGTATGCAGTCCAAGCTGGGGCAAATGAGCCAAAGCATTTACAGACTTTGATTGCGCAAGCCCATCTTGCGTCTAGCCTTTCAACTGCGCAGCTAGCAACCCTGAGCATCCCTGCCAACTGTCGCCCTCAAAGCTTGGGTAGGACTCTGACGTTCACAAACTGACGGCATCACGCTCTTGGCACGGCAGCCTGTAAAGTCAGACTTGCCACAACTCAGAAGCATCCGCTGAGGAGGGCCGCGGAAAAGTAGCTGGGTCCTAATCAGGCTGGAAGTCTTCAGCATTCTTCAGCGTTGCATTCTAACGTGTGGGAATCGACTTCTGCCCCTGCGCTAGCTGTTTCCCGACTGCCAGTACCACGGGTTGCGTCAGGCGTTGGGGGCTGCGGGATTCTTGCCCATGCCCCCCCTTTGTTCCCACCCTGTATCCTAGACCACACGTCATGCTCAGCTTAAATCACGAGCACCTTCTGTAGTTACACAAGTTACTCTACCACACACCAGAGAGCTCAAGAAAGCTAACAATGTCGTGATGTCTTGGCCGAGATAGCTGCGGTTTTTGTCTTCTGGGCTGTTACTGTGTGTGTAGCAGCACTCGTAGGTTACCAGTTGGTCTGGAGGCAAGCCCTGTGGCAGATTGAAAGCCTTGAGCTGCCTGACCCGTGGAACGAATTTGGCCCCACCATGGAGTTTCAGTTGTTTATTTCTTGTTTTTTCCTGGGTGTTCTTCGGCTTTTGGTCACTTGTGACCGGGGCTCAATCCCGCCCAATGCTGACCTCGTCCAAAAGAACTACCTTAGGACCTTTGGTACTTGCAATAGAATGGCGTCTGTTTTGTTCGACACTGCTGTGACAGATGATTTTCGCGAAGGTGTTTCGAAACTTTTTCAAACTCTAAGCAGCTCGCCGAAGAGAAGTGGTACCTGAGATGGGGCTGACTGCTTTAGGCGTGGCGGCTCATGACTTACCCCCGAACCCGATCTGCAGCTGTCCAGCTTTCTTTGTGTTTCAACGCGGGCGCAGCCACCTGTGAGCGCGCGGGGCTTACCTCGCGAGCTGCTTCAGTCTATCTGGATATCTGTCACCTGCCTCCACGACCCCTCGATTTCCACACTGAAACATGCCCTCCAAATTCCATAAACCTTTGGCAGAGTCTACGAAAGGAGGCCCACCCAAGAGCCCTTAGAAAAAGTGTGCGAGGTAGAAGGGCCTGTCTTTGAGAGATGAGGTCGTCGCTCCACACTGGCAAGGCTCCCCATGGGGCAGGCCCCAGGGTGTTTAGCCCAGAAGCCTAGGGCTTCCTGCGTGAGGTTGAAGGCCCTTGCCGGCTGCATGTCAAAAACGGTTTTGGCAGAAACGAACTTTGGAGATTTGGGTTTCGGGCCGTGGGACCGTGTTTGCAGGATCCGAGTGGGGCCTTTGCCCAGGCCTCAAGCTTCAGGCCCCAACCCTTCAATTGTCGGCCGTAGACCAGTGCCAGGCCCTATTAAAGAGCACCCCAAAAACATATGTAAGACTTTTGTAATGGCAACTGTCACCTAAACTCTAAGCCAGGCGCCCCCAGTGGATTCAGGAATGCATTCTACCGCTTTCGCCACTTTCCGGGTGATGTTAGTTACTGTTAGCAAACATCATATGCAATCATGTACAATCATATGCGCGCTCTGCGACAGGGCTGTTCCCACTGCTTCGATGGCCTCGTCGCCGCCACCAGCCCCGGGCAAAGGCCGTGTTGGACCAATTGATTTGGGGCACGTGTGTAAAAGCGATGACACTTTGGCCTCGACCACAGTTCTTCATTGCGTCATGCTTTCACGGGGGGCTTTGGGATGCCTCGGCGCTGGTGATTGTAGATGTTGAGGATAGCTTCTGCTCATCCCACCATTGTGGCCTTGGTTCTCCCTAACGCCTCTGCATCTATATTGTATATAAGTCAAGCGATTGTGGCAGCCTCATCCCAATACAAGGGCCTCAGCTAACAGGCCCTGAGGCTAACACGATTTTGAGATTCCATGCAGAGTGCCTTTTAAAACCTGTACATCCCGCACACCCGACGGCTTGCTCGGCCTGAGCGCCCTGTAAAACACAAGCCTTAGCCCAACCGCAATGCTCGGCCTGCTGGGCAGTGGACAACCTCCCAAACCCAAATGATAACCGTTGTCACAATCTCAAACCCAATGTGGGGATTTTCTGTACGCTTCCTGTTTCTTTGTAAATCGGAGTCTTTTCGACCGAATTCTCGTATGAAAAGTTGCTTTACGGGGACCAATCATGTTGAACAAAAACAAGCTCCGGTTCAGCACCGCAGGCCCGTTCACACCCCGCCCCGCGAGCCGCCCGCGGCGCCCGCGGTGCCCGCGGTGCCCACACCGCCCGCTGTGCCCGCGGCGCCCGCTGTGCCCGTAGCGCCTGCAGCTACGGTCTTCGCCTTGGGGAGCCATGAGGCTTCAGGGTAGGACGTAAGGTAATGCACGTACGTGCATGCGTGGAGGCTGGGAAGCCTCGATACACCATGTTACAGTGACAGGACAAGATGCATTCTAGGTGCATCATTTCTGCTTGAAAAGGCGTAAAGGCTGCACTCTGACACTCCCACTCTGCTACCGAGGCAGCACCCGGTGCCAAACTGGCAGCCGCCCTGGCGGAGGCCCCCAAAGAGGCCTTGCGTGCTAGAGGCATTTCATTAGATCATGGCTCTGTCGAAGACAGAAAATACTTCGAGAATGGAATCCAGCAGGAACGCGGCGTGTTCTCACCATATTTCCGTGGCCTCGAGTGGAGTTCTTCCCCGGCACGCCGGTTGCGAAGTATTGCAAGTAGTCGTAGCTGCATAGTCACTTACCTCAGCAGCTGCAGCTGGGCCCGGTTTTGCAGGATGGACTTTGTATGAAGGCCAAGCGTCTGTCAGAGAAGTTGCGTTCTTCCTGGCTTGTCCGGAGGATGTTATTGTGCGCCCGACCATCAACGGCTACACTGCATGCATGGGGCAAGCAGTGGTTGCAACTTGGCTCGATGAAGTTTGCTCAGGCTCATAGCCAGCGGCAGGCCAAATGTCCTGCATGGTCGTCCGCTGTCTGAGCTTTGTCAACATTTGCTTGACATGATCTTCCGGACCTCAAAGAGATATAAAGAGCACCCTAACTTAGAGCAACTTCCAAGATGTGGAAACTTGCCCAGGAGGTGGAGACTACGGTAAAGGAAGTCCCACCGGAGGTGAAGGCTGTGGAGAGACTCGAGCTCAGATCTCTGCGGTTACCAGGGTCGTCGGCTTTAAGAGAAGAATCCGGTGTCTTCGCAGTCACGAGCCCTTTAAGCCTGTATCGCCTATATGATTATTTCTTTTGTGGTTTAAATTTGGCTCAAGGCTTGGGGTGAGGGCCTTGCGCGCAAGCATTACAGCATTCTTTTCATAGATGTATCGGTGGGCAGGTACGGGTTTCCCATGTTCCTTCACCTGGGCCAGAAAGCTGCGCTGCCGAGGCACATTCACGAAGCTGTATACCAAGCCGGCAATGATGGAGGACGGGTGCAACGTAGCAAGGCCCAAGCGCAAAGTGCAGAATCCGTGCCCGGGCCCCAACCAGTCACCGAAACCTCGTTTGTGTTTGTGCAGAACCCTTTTTGTGGGTAGTGCAAGTTGGAATCTGCAATGGCCGTTTCGTCACCTTGCCGTGCCTTTGGCTCAGCTTGCAGGTTCAGATGGTAGCTCGGACGGGGCGTGTGGGTGTGAGAAGGTGCCCCGAGTCGATGCGATGACGAAGCTGAGCCTGGCCTTGAAACAGGAGAACGCCCTGGGCTGTGTTTGCCGGGCCTTGCCTTCGGCATGGCCCAAGCTTCGCAAGACCTCGAAGCTTTACATGTGGCGCTTGGATGAGCTGAAGCTCCACGCCTTGCAGCAGGCCCTCATCGAAGAGCTGAACCTTGTTTTCGCTGACCTCTTCGAGCTCTGCGAACGTGGTGATGCAGAATGTGTGTGGATTTTGCTGTCTCAGGGGATGAAACTTTGCTCATATATTGGGAGTTGTGGGAAGCTTAAAGATGAGGTCCATCAGTAAGCTGTAACAGTAGGCATGGGATGCGCTAAGGAATGTCAAGCAACGGGACCCAGAAGGAGCGACCTTGCTTCAAAAGGCCACTCACAGCGGCTGCACCACCATCCTGAAGCTCATTGTCGAGAAGGGAGGCGTCCTCAATGCGAAAGGCTCCTATGGATACACCCCCCTACATGAGGCTTGCTACTTGGGCGTCCCGGAGGTGTGTGAGCTCCTTTTGTCCGTGAAGGCCAATGTGGATGCATTGAGCAAGAACGGGTCCACACCACTCTTGGTGGCGGGGCGTGAAGGCCACAATGCCATTTGTGAGTCCCTTCTCAAGCACAATGCAGATGCAGACGATGGCGGCGACAAGGGATGGACACCACTTTCCGTCGCAGCAGGCGAAGGTCATGTCGAAGTTTGCGAGACCCTCCTCAAGTACAATGCCAATGTGCATGGCTTCTCCGGCGACGGCCGGTACGAGCGAAGTGCGTTGCAGGAGGCCCCAGCTCAAGGGCAATTAAGTATGAACTAGCCCAGAAGTCTCTAGCAAGGCCTGCGATGAGCCCTTCTCCCCCCGGAGATAGGACCCCTGGAGAAAAACCTTCGTGCGAAGAGGCTGCGGAGCAGGGTCATGCCAATGTCGTCGGCCTCCTGCTCGAGGCAAAGGCGGATGTGCACCATACCTTTGATGCTGGGCTCTTGTACAGATGGTGTATGATTGAATTTGCAGGGGCTTTCTGCAGTCATTCGGATAGGGGTCTCAGGCATTTCTGGTAGGAGGTGCCACTTCCTGGGGGGCTTTCATGAAGTTAGCTTGAATGACTTTACATCCTCGCACCTCAGTGGAAGCGGCTTTGTGCTTCTGTCGATATGCTTCCGCGCCCAGAGTCCCGAGGGGTTCACATCTTACGGTTCTAGGGCCACTTGGGGTGTTCATTTAGCCCCCAAAATCAAAGCCGAGGATGAAGGGGGCGGGCAGCAGCGACGATGGACAGCCGCAGAGCTTGCCGAGAGAGCCGGGCATAGCAAGATCGTCAACATGCTCATGTCCCAGGCGAGAGCCTCCAAGTTTCAAGGATTCGGGCAGGATGTGAGGTATGCATGGACATGGTCGCATTAATTAAAGATCTTAGGTTCTTAGATTGTTTTTCATGGAGTGTATAGGGGTTCGAGATGCCAAAGGGTCATCGCGGGTTCGTCCTTTCTCGGGCTTTGGATCCTTTCACGGGTTTGCCCCAGGTGATGGCGCCAAATTGCTTCTTTGTGGCACTTCAGACATCTTCAGATGGATTGCTTCACGTTATGCATGTTGCATCTGCTGGCATCTGCTCAAAAATTGCAAGGCGAAGGCGAGAGACACTCAAAACGCTTCAAGAAGCTGAGGATCCCGAGGCGACTGACTTCCTCTTCCAGTCGAGTTCGGAAGCTCGCTGCTCAGAAGACCCGTTTCTGGGCTAGTATAGGAGTCTATGGTACTGTGTAATACTGTGTGGTACTCTGTGCCATGGGGTTTTGTGGTTTTGTTCGTGGTGTAGTTTAGAAAGCAAGCTCAGAACCCAGAGTGAATCCAGCTTCGAAAGATCCAAGGTTGGCTGGCAACTGGACATCGACTCCGCTTTGAGTCTTTGAGTGAGTGCTCTTTACAGGAAGGTGCCCGTGGCATGGCACTGGTATGCCTGTCGAGCTATCCTCCAAGGCCACAGGACCATAGGCTTCGTAATCTGGCGGAAAGGCCCCTGGATCTCTGTTGCTTGGGCACCAGCCTGTCGCTGATACAGTGTCACAGTCACAGGATGCGTGAGACGCTTTAGAAGGAACCAGAGTATGCCAAAAATGCGTCCGTTGCAACTTCGTTTCTGTCAAGGCCGGGGGCCGAAACATGTGCATCATGGAGCTTCTTGTGAAACGTTTAGCCGGCATCTAGGCATGCCTAAGCGACCTGGAGGGCATGTCTACGACCCACATCCTTGCCAGGATGTGTCCTCGGACACTGAGGACCGGTTGCCGGCAGAAGCATGGGTTTCCAATGCGAGTTTCTGTTCTCCTTGCAACAATCAGAATGCCACACCTCCCACGTGCGTTGAACCCTTGAACCCTTGGAAAGATCACAGCAATGGGCCTAAAGTCCAAACCCCGAAAATACTTCACTCGGCTTGCTTTGTGAAGCCATTGTACTTGTAGAACACAACGCTCTATAGCAAGCATGCTTGTAAGCACGAAGAGAGGATTCTGTGGAGCTGGAGACGCCGTCTGGAACCGTGGCTTTGTCTTGAAGAGCCAAAGGATGTGAGAGCGTGTGTCAGCCCAAAGCCCGAAAAAATTGAGTGTTTCGTATCACGACAAGGAACACTCAAGCTTCTTTCTAGACTTGGCCAGAGGTTGTGCAAGACGCCGGCGTGCAAATATGTGAGAATGGCAAGAAGGCCTATAGAAAACATACCCCCCCCCCCCCGAAATCCCAAACCCTAGGCACAAAAGCCAATTGCCAAGAGCGAAAAAACCCCATTGCCAATGCATCCCTAAAGTGGTTGTGTTGATCTTGAAGCATTGCCTCCCGTCCTTGCGAGTGTGAGCGATGAAGCCCTATTCTGGCCCGCTTCGGCCCTTGACTCTTAGTTCTACACGCCCTTCATGATTCACGTGCTGCTTCGGGGTTCTGTTTGGAATTGTGCGGGCGCTCATGTGTTTCGGTGTAGTTTTGCGGCCTTGCTGGGGCTTTCTGCCTTACTTTCTGTGCAGAACGGAGTCGAAGACATTCGAAGCAAAGCAATGCTTGTGCAGGCCCAGAAGAGGCAACCAGCGAAGGATCTTCAGTTTCCCCAAATCATGATGAATTTGAATTTTAAAAGCACGATGACGATAATTGCGATTGAACACATCGCGCTCAGTGCACGACGGCGGCTGAGCTCGGCCCAGACGGCTTGCCCTCGATAGGCCCGCGTGCGGGGTCAGGGTCAACTTCAGACATCAATGTTGCCGGGGTTTGGAGAAAAATGGGTTAAACAGGTTAAAACAAAAAAGATACTCCTTTCTCGCAGCAAACGTGAGCAAGCAGTGCCTGGCTTGAATGCAGGAGGGCTACCCGGCGTCCAATATTGGGGTGGGTAATTGGTTTTCATTGGGCTTCGCGGGGAGCACGTACCTGTCTCACACACATGCCTCACCTTTGATCTTTCGACAGCGAACCGGGCGCGGCCCAAATCCCTGAACCCAAGAACAAATGAATACTGTGCAGACTGTGTTGAGAAATGCTGCTGTCAGGCTCCGTCGGACATGCCACTGGCCTTGCCGCCCTGGTTTTTCAATTTCAAGCAGCACGGGTTCAAAAAAAGAGCTCAGGTTTGCGAACAACTTTTATGCTAGTGTCTGTTCGCAGGCTTCAGCAAGCCATTCAGCAAGCCAACATTCCAAAGGTATGTAGCTCGGGATGCTCATCATCTCCTTTAGCGCATGCACTGTGCTTGCTTGCACGAAGGAGGAAAAGCTGTATTGACAAGGTGTACAACTTAATCAAGCATCTTTGGGCACGGAAAGCCTTGGAGGAGCGGCAAGAGCTTTGACAAGTTCAGAGCAGCTCACCGGGGCAGATGCGTGTTGACATTGAGATTCTATGGACGGATGGCTGTGTGTTTGAGAAGCCCACCATGGCAAGGGCACCGTTCTTCGTGGTGGCCGTGGGCAAGTTGAGTTTGGCTCCTTGTGCTGTGCTGCCTCTATATTCCTGGCCCTGCTGGCCTGTTGATGGCGAGCAGGGCAAACCATGGAGGCATCACTTTCCGAGCGTGCTGGTGAAGTTGCTATTCCTGTGGACGAATGGCTGTGTATTCTCAGCAGCCCACCATGGCAAGGGCACCGTGGCTTCGTGGTGTAAATCCGTGTTGGTGTCGTCCTAGACAGACCGTGGGCAAGTTGAGTTTGGCTCCTTGTGCTGCGCTGCCTCTATATTCCTGGCCCTGCTGGCCTGTTGATGGCGAGCAGGGCAAACCATGGACGCATCACTCTTCGAGCGGGCTGTTGAATTTGAGATTCCTGTGGACGAATGGCTGTGTATTCTCAGCAGCCCACCATGGCAAGGGCACCGTGGCTTCGTGGTGTAAATCCGTGTTGGTGTCGTCCTGCACAGACCGTGGGCAAGTTGAGTTTGGCTCCTTGTGCTGCGCTGCCTCTATATTCCTGGCCCTGCTGGCCTGTTGATGGCGAGCAGGGCAAACCATGGAGGCATGAAGTTGCTATTCCTGTGGACGAATGGCTGTGTCTTCTCAGCAGCCCACCATGGCAAGGACACCGTGGCTTCGTGGTGTAAATCCGTGTTGGTGTCGTCCTAGACAGACCGTGGGCAAGTAGAGTTTGGCTCCTTGTGCTGCGCTGCCTCTATATTCCTGGCCCTGCTGGCCTGTTGATGGCGAGCAGGGCAAACCATGGAGGCATCACTTTCCGAACGTGCTGTTGAATTTGAGATTCCTGTGGACGAATGGCTGTGTATTCTCAGCAGCCCACCATGGCAAGGGCACCGTGGCTTCGTGGTGTAAATCCGTGTTGGTGTCGTCCTGCACAGACCGTGGACAAGTTGAGTTTGGCTCCTTGTGCTGCGCTGCCTCCATATTCCTGGCCCTGCTTGCCTGTTGATGGCGAGCAGGGCAAACCATGGACGCATCACTCTTCGAGCGGGCTGTTGAATTTGAGATTCCTGTGGACGAATGGCTGTGTATTCTCAGCAGCCCACCATGGCAAGGGCACCGTGGCTTCGTGGTGTAAATCCGTGTTGGTGTCGTCCTAGACAGACCGTGGGCAAGTAGAGTTTGGCTCCTTGTGCTGCGCTGCCTCTATATTCCTGGCCCTGCTGGCCTGTTGATGGCGAGCAGGGCAAACCATGGAGGCATCACTTTCCGAGCGTGCTGGTGAAGTTGCTATTCCTGTGGACGAATGGCTGTGTATTCTCAGCAGCCCACCATGGCAAGGGCACCGTGGCTTCGTGGTGTAAGTCCGTGTTGGTGTCGTCCTAGACAGACCGTGGGCAAGTAGAGTTTGGCTCCTTGTGCTGCGCTGCCTCTATATTCCTGGCCCTGCTGGCCTGTTGATGGCGAGCAGGGCAAACCATGGAGGCATCACTTTCCGAGCGTGCTGGTGAAGTTGCTATTCCTGTGGACGAATGGCTGTGTATTCTCAGCAGCCCACCATGGCAAGGGCACCGTGGCTTCGTGGTGTAAATCCGTGTTGGTGTCGTCCTGCACAGACCGTGGGCAAGTCGAGTTTGGCTCCTTGTGCTGCGCTGCCTCTATATTCCTGGCCCTGCTGGCCTGTTGATGGCGAGCAGGGCAAACCATGGAGGCATCACTTTTCGAGCGTGCCGGTGAAGTTTCTATTCCTGTGGACGAAGTGCTGTGTATTCTCAGCAGCCCACCATGGCAAGGGCACCGTGGCTTCGTGGTGTAAATCCGTGTTGGTGTCGTCCTAGACAGACCGTGGGCAAGTTGAGTTTGGCTCCTTGTACTGCGCTGCCTCTATATTCCTGGCCCTGCTGGCCTGTTGATGGCGAGCAGGGCAAACCATGGAGGCATCACTTTTCGAGCGTGCTGGTGAAGTTGCTATTCCTGTGGACGAATGGCTGTGTATTCTCAGCAGCCCACCATGGCAAGGGCACCGTGGCTTCGTGGTGTAAATCCGTGTTGGTGTCGTCCTGCACGGACCGTGGGCAAGTAGAGTTTGGCTCCTTGTGCTGCGCTGCCTCCATATTCCTGGCCCTGCTTGCCTGTTGATGGCGAGCAGGGCAAACCATGGAGGCATCACTTTTCGAGCGTGGTGTTGAATTTGAGATTCCTGTGGACGAATGGCTGTGTATTCTCAGCAGCACACCATGGCAAGGGCACCGTGGCTTCGTGGTGTAAATCCGTGTTGGTGTCGTCCTACACCGACCGTGGGCAAGTAGAGTTTGGCTCCTTGTGCTGCGCTGCCTCTATATTCCTGGCCCTGCTGGCCTGTTGATGGCGAGCAGGGCAAACCATGGAGGCATCACTTTCCGAGCGTGCTGTTGAAGTTGCTATTCCTGTGGACGAATGGCTGTGTATTCTCAGCAGCCCACCATGGCAAGGGCACCGTGGCTTCGTGGTGTAAATCCGTGTTGGTGTCGTCCTGCACAGACCGTGGGCAAGTTGAGTTTGGCTCCTTGTGCTGCGCTGCCTCTATATTCCTGGCCCTGCTGGCCTGTTGATGGCGAGCAGGGCAAACCATGGAGGCATCACTTTCCGAGCGTGCTGGTGAAGTTGCTATTCCTGTGGACGAATGTCTGTGAATTCTCAGCAGCCCACCATGGCAAGGGCACCGTGGCTTCGTGGTGTAAATCCGTGTTGGTGTCGTCCTGCACAGACCGTGGGCAAGTTGAGTTTGGCTCCTTGTGCTGCGCTGCCTCTATATTCCTGGCACTGCTGGCCTGTTGATGGCGAGCAGGGCAAACCATGGAGGCATCACTTTCCGAGCGTGCTGGTGAAGTTGCTATTCCTGTGGGTTGTCCTGCGAAGACCGCGGGCAAGTTGAGTTTGTGTTGAAGCGAGTGATCGAAACGAGTGCCAGGCGACTGCAAGCGCTGCTGCTTCCATCCAAAGGGCCGCTGCCAGAACGGCCACGACTGCAGGCTGTGGTTCCATGTGGTTCCATGAGCTCCCATACTATTTAATTCACAGATTTGTGGTGCTGCTTTGCAACGGCTGCCCAAAGCATGTAGATCTTTGACCACAAGCACATGCAGCCCGCGAGCAGGTTCTGCCACTTTGACCACGACAAGCGCCGTCGTGCAGGAGCTGGGGATCTGGGGCGGCTGGATTCTGACACTGATGTTGTTGTGGGATCGAGAAGTTGGTTCAGCTTTAGCCCGCAGACCTCAAAGGGCTTCTTGTTGCAGCGGAGCTGTTATAAATAGAGACGTGCACTAGTCATGCACTGTGGGGCAATGAGCTCATATCTATTTGTGCATATGCCTGAGAAAACAATCCCCGCCTGACTGACCTGAAGAGAACACCAACTATACTTGCACTTAGATAGTTCCGGCAGCTGCGTAATGTTGGACCCTGTTGAGTAGGGGCCTCCCCTTTAAAGTCAATTTGGCCGAATAATTCTTTAAAGTCTAACGGTTCCCGAAATCCGGCATGTTTTTTAGGATTTGGGGCTTGTTTCGGCCCTGAGGCTCCGGCTTAAAGCCGGGCCTTATGAATTTAAAGCCGGGCCTTAGGATTTCAAAGGCCGATCTCCTGAAATCCAACCGGCCCGAAACCATTAATTCCCTTTCAGAAACCATTTGAAAAATTGGTTTCGTTCAATCCGACAAGAGGGTGGTCCAGAGGCCCCCTCGGACCTTGGGGCCCTCTTTAATGTCCGGGCCCCGGCCCGGAGCCCCGATTTGGGATGCCTGGCTGTTTGGGCTTAAAGGCGGGCCTGTTGATTTTAAAGCCCGGCCTTAGGATTTCAAAGGCCGATTTCCGGAATGCCAACCGGCCCGAAACCAATACTTTCCTTTAAGAAAATTTCCTTTAAGGAAACCTTTTGAAAAGTTGGTCCCCCTCAATCTGGCAAGGGGGTGGTCCAAGGGCCCCCTCGGACCCTCAATAATAGGACTGTTTCGGGGCACTCTTTAATGTCCGGGCCCGGCCCGGAGGCTCCGAATTTGGAAAAAGCCTATGGATTCCTTTCAAATTCATATAAACTCATCCCGGAACCCTTTTCGATTCGCGCGGCTCCCTTCTAAATTCATATAAGCTCATCCCTTTTAAATTCATATGGATCCCTTTTCAATCTATCTAAACTCGTCCATATTAAAATCATATAAAACCCGGGCCCGTTTAGAGAGGGCCCAATCCAGCCCTCGACTGTTCAGGGGAGAGGGTCCAACATTAAGACCTAAACCACGCCTCTCACCAATCATTCTGCTTCAGCGTGGGTTTCGCTTCATGTTTGTGTGCTGCTCTCGCGCTTGGGTGCTTTGGTTGCAATTGCATGTCGAAGCAGTAGCGTTGAGGAGGGTCCTGCAACGTTGAATTCTGCTTCAAACCCAATCTTCTGTTTTATGTTTGGCTGCTTGAGCACGTGCCACGTGTGTAACGGTGCCCGAAACGCATTCATACTAACCCCACGTCTAAAGCATATGCGGCAAAGTGGAGCCAAACGATGAACAACAATCCTTTCTCGTAGCGCAGAGAACAAGAAGGTGCATGACGTGCAAAGGCTTGGCAGCGTGCAGCATGCAAAGTTAGCCCCACAGTACGCGCAGCCGAGATAGTTTGTGAACACAAGTGCGAACATTGTGCCAAACACTGCGTTTGAAAGAGTGTCCGTTGCGTTTTCGTCGCGAGATGGGTCTACGGCCCCCCCTGTAATGTTCAGTATGTGTTAGCAAGAAGGAAGAATCACCAGCTGAAACACAAACTGGAGCAAATCGAAGAGAGCAAAGACGGCTGGCATCAAATTGGGCCTGCCGAGCACCATCAAGGAGGACGAAAGCGACATCGTCTACCTCGAGCAAGTCCAATGCTACAATGAACACGACCAAGTAAACTTAAGAGCTGTTCCACACGAGTTCATGACTGAACAACGGGCCATTGTGTTAGTATGCGCTGAAACAACTGTGGTCGGTGAGCCCGGGAGGCACAAAGAAGAAGAGCAGCCGACAAGTGTCTCCAGACAGCAGCATGACCGGCCGGCGCCTTGTGCGTGTCTGCAGGTTAGCAGGGTACAGAATCTATAGGCCCATATAGGCCCGCCGCCGTCCCCCTCGTATGAAAGTCAGCTCGGGCTTTCTGTGAAGCTCTAGACTCCAAACAGCCCGAGCAATGACCCCAGATGACAGACTGCTGCATTCTGCTCCCTGCATCTGAAGAAGGCAGAAAGGAGCTCATCTGCTTCGACAGCAGCATCACAGAGACGTGCACAAGCTGCACAATCGAAAGTGCACCCCGAGGTGACGGCATATCTCCTGTCCTGACGCCCGCCATGGGGCCTCGCCAGCCGGGTTGAGGGAATACATACATGTATCTTTGAACATATGAATGTACGTACATACATACATTAATACATATATATATATATATGTAGATGGTATAAATACAACCTACTTCTGTTTTCGTATATGTATATGTATTGTAGATGTATATGTATATGTATCAAATCTGTGTGCGTGCGCGTGCGTGTGCGCGTGGGTGTGTGCATGGGTGTTTGCGCATATAGGGCGGGTGGGGGTGGGGGGGGGTTCTACGAATGCTGTACGCGGGCCATTGGGGTGCAGCGGCAGAGAGAGAGATATACATTCTGGTTGCATACATGTTTTAGAGATGTGTTTGCAGGTTTGGTCGAACCTGGATAGATGGGGATGGAGCCATGAGCAGATTCCTGTCAGCTTTTGCAAGCTAGTAAGACTTCTAGAGTAACGCCGGCATCTTGTCTGCAGCTTGATTCGGGTTTTATGTTTTTTTGTTGCACGCACCACTCTGCCGACATCTGCCGACTGTGTGGCTGAAAACCCTGAACTAAGCTTCGCTGTGTATCCTTGTCTTGCATGTCCGAAGAGGCCGTGTGCAGCTGTCGCTTTCAGGGTTGGGGGGTGTCGCTGAAGTGTTTGTGTTCAGTGAAACGTTGCGGTGCTCAGTGCTTCCCCGAGCGCGAGACTTTTGAAAATTTCCAGCTGCGTACCAGTCCGAGCGTCGAAACCAGCGGCAAAGCAAACCCTGAACCGCGCCTCTGGAGTTCCAGACGCAAGAAAGCAAGACTGAAGAGCTTCGGGCCTGCCAGGTGCCTCTGGCATTCTCGTACTGGGATCATTTCTGCAAGTCGCACCCACCCCCACCCCCCCCCCCCCCCCCCCCCGAAACCTTGAATCATCTATCTTAGGGGTTAAGCATGATTAAATTGGAATCAGCCCCAAAGCCCGAAACATAATCGCCAGGCAGCAGCCCATGGCTCTCATCCCGGGTCCGCAGGCGGCCACTTTGTTGTTGGGCAAGGTTTAGGCACTGTAGGTCTGGTTAGCATTGTAGACACTTTTGCTCAACACGACAAGCTTGTGCTTTCTGGCTTCCTTTAAAGATGTTCTGAGAAATGGCACCGGTGCACTGCTGACTTTTTGTTACGGGAAAGATCGAGCTTTAAGGGTCTAAGACTAAAAGTTGTCTGTAAGAGCTCAGGGAAAACGTGTCAATGCTGGGTCGAAAGTCGATCTCGGAACTCCCCGGCTCCTGAAACCGTTCGGCAGCAAAAAGGGTCCAAGACAGTCCAAGAATCAGCGTTCCTCATTAAGCCTCATGACACCGTTCCTTGAAAAGCATCAAGAAGAGGATGCGTGCTGTAAAGCATTGTAAAGCGCATTCGGGGATGTTTGATGCAAGGCACCGTGCCAGCCAGTGGGGCCCTGTGCGACGACACCCTCAGCGGCACCCCTGGCAGAGGGGACTTCGGAGCTTATTGCTTCGCTTATCGTCACTGTTCTTGTCGTTTTTCTGTTTGATTCATGGGTTCGACTCCGTATCCACTAGTGTGTACATGGCTTCGACTCAATGTGGTTCAACGAAAAGAAATCGCGTTGTGCCAGGCTTGCGGTTACCCCGAGGCACAGCCCCACATGGAGGCTTCAGCATTTGAAGAGTACGAGAGTTCGGACCGCGTAGCCGGCGTAGCCGTCACCGATTAGGGAGAATGATGGATCCTAGCACTTGTTGGCACAGCTGGGGGATGGTCAGGCCAAAAGTGCCCAAGCCCCTGAAGCAGGGAATGTACCCGAACTTCCAAGCAATAAGCTTGTAGAAATCGAGCCGTGCAGCCTTGCGAACGTTTTTTCTGGAATGAAGGGCTGGCGCTCTTTTTGTTGCTCTCGTGCCGCTGTCGGCAGTCTGGATTTTGGGAGCAAAGCCTCCGATGCAATTTTGGCAGGCACCGCAAATGGCAATGGGATGCATGGAGGAGCAGGCAAGTACGGTCTACATTGACCCGGAGACCCGACACGCAAAAACAGACCTGCCCTGCTTTGTCGTAGCACGTCGGCTTGCCTCACGCGGCCATCTCAGGTCACAACTGGTCACTGGGTCAAGGATGGAGGGTCGAGTGAATTTTGGATTGGAAGGTCGGCTACGCACCACCCATGATGCCGAATGCTCGGAGCCCAGGTGAGCTTCAGGTCCTGCCCGGCACCCACATGCAGCCACAATATTTAGCATCCTATATTTCACGAAGCGGATCGCAGTTTGCGATGCGGCTTATCCTGGATGTTTAGGACACTTTTATGCAAAGTAATTCTATACCGGTCACTGGCAACCGCAGTTTCCAGCCCACACTTTTGAATGAATCGACGATATTTTCCTAGTCCAATTGTCGGGACAGTGCTCCTCTCTTCCTCCAATTCTATTCAAGTGTCCTCTCAGGATTACGGGAACATGCCCATGTGGCAAGGCGACTTGTGCGCGGCTCGGTCCGGGAAGGAGCTGGACAAGCTCAACAAGCGGACAAAACTCGCACAAGCTCGAGTCCTCAAGCTAGCGAGATTTAGAAATTTAGAAATCTTGATCAGCCACGCCACTGAAGCTTCTGGGGGTTCGAAGGTCGCTGAAGCCGCATGGAACCAGTCGGCTAAAAACACGATTCTGTGTTTGGACGGCAAGGTTGAATCGGTTTGGATGTTGTGACTTCTGAGCGTATTTGAGCATGTTAGCGAGGAGTAGCAACCACTCGGTAAGCTGCGTTTCCCAAGCCGAAAAGAAAATTCATACAACGCTGTGCGCGCCCACACCATCCCACGCAAGGCACGCGACAGTAAGCAGTGAAAGCGCGAAGCTAGACGAATGCTCCTAAACCCAAGCCTCCTGAACCCCAAACGCCTTGCTTGGATGTCCGTGGATCCCTTCCCTAAACTGCCGACATTCAACTCTCAGAAGACGCTCCACATCGTGCGGTTCTCAAACCTAAGCCTTGTTTCAGGCACCCTGGGGCATCACGAACATAAGACTTCATCCCCACTGTGCGCTTGAAAGTCCCCAAACGAACCCCCCAGGCCTAAACCATCCTAAACCCCAAGCCAAAATCCTCAACCCGCCCTCCAGGCCTGGTTTCATGGGTCCTTGCCCGCTGTCCACGGCGCCCCAAGGCCCTTGCGGCAGTCGGCAAAACTTCGGGCGAAGGGATTTTTTTTGTAGAGGAGATTCATACATGGATCTGCTTTCGCGCGCGCGCGCGCGCGTGGACCGCGCGCGAACTGCGAAGAGTCTCTGTTCGTTGCTTTCTATTGCGTTCTCTGCAATTTTTCGGCTCCCGTGGCCGGCGTGCACAGCTTTCGGATCGACATCGCGCTCTCGAGCTGGTACCTCGTTGTCGACATCGCAAAACGCCGAGATCTTGGCGTCGTTGTGCATGGCAAATTGAGATCTCGCCTGGGACGCCGGTGCACTTCTTTCCTGTTTGGCGGCCCTTGAAGGGATCGCTTCGTGCGCCCGATCTACGGAAGGGGATTTAGCAGCTTGGCGGTGGGGATGTGTGTCGTGGTAAATTGTCATAAACAGTTGGAGTCTGTGCAAGCATAGTATACGTATAGTATGCTGCGGCGATGTGCGCACACAAACAGACATGCTTCCGTAAGCCTTGAGGCCACAAGCCCGCATTGTCGATAGAATGACATCAGATGCCATTTGTAAATACAATTCGGATTTGTCGGTTAATTCTTGGGTATTGGTTGACAGAGATGAGGTTACTTTGAGATGTGCAGCAGGATTGGGAAACTGAACCTGACTGCCTGGGTTTCTGGTAGACACCATGCTGCAGTCTCGGCATCTCTCGGCTAGGCCCTCAGTACGGTTGGCCAGGGCCGCCCAACTTCTTCGCCCCTCGGCTTGGTGGCTGTCGAGCTTCGGAGCTGTCAAGAGGGCAGTTTGTATGTTGTCTCGAGCGAGGGTCAACAGGACATCATGTCAATCTCTTCCTCCGCAGAGAAACGACAAAGAAGGTATGCAGGCCGCCTTAGAATAGCTGTAGCATATGGAGCCGTAGCATTTGGAGCTCAGGCCTGCGCAAACCTCCCCAAACCTTCGGCAGTTCCATGGCTGATGCTTGTATATGCTTGTAGCTGAATAAACCGCATGGCCCTGCTGCAGGCCCATCATCAGCCGCACCAGCTGCCGCCTCCCATGCCGCTACTTGGAGCAGAATCCCACCGCATCCGAGGAACATCGACATACATATACATATATATCAAGATATATCAAGAATTATCAAGATACTTGAGTCGCTCTGATACAGGGGGAGGGATACTCCACGCCCGGACTCTTGTTTACCCCGGGGCCGCCTCGCCTCTGCCGTTGTTTTTTTCGTTTGCCTTGCTTTTGCCGAAACCATTTGCTGCACCTGTACCTGTAGCCTGCAACTTAAGGGCGTCCAAACCTTGAAAAGCCGAAGCTTTGACCTGGAAACCCGCAACCTCAAAACCGCAACTTGAAGCGCCAAAAAAACCTGCCTTACAACCCCCGTTGCAGCCCAAACCCTGAAACCTCAAGAAGAAACAAAAGCGTTTAGTCCGCCTCGCTTAGCCACTCTGCGTATCTCTCGATCTCTGACAGTTCGTTTTTTTCTTCAGTGCGCCCCTCGTCACCGCCCTTTGCTCCCCCAATTGCTCCCCCAAGTGCTCCCCCAATTGCTCCTCCCGAAAAAGAGATAAAAGAGCAAGATCCAGTTGGAAGAGCTCGAGTTGAGGTTCCAATCCAGCTGCCCCCCAATGAATCCGGGCTTCAACGGCGGGCCACCCCTGATGTCCGGAGCTAAGCGCCAGGTACTCCTAGGATTTCGGTTCCAGTTTGCATGCGGGGGAATTGACTATCTGCCACGAGAGCCTTCAACACAGAGCCCCAGGCTGCCCAACTACACGACCTCGGCCGGTCGTCCGTGGCAGCCCTGGTGTTTTTTTTGCTGCAGGGTTGTTGGGCTTAGGTTCAAGCTTGAGTTTTGGAGGAGTGAAGCCTTAGGGGCGAGAAACCTTTCACCAGGCTTCAAACCCAGTGATCGCCCATCCAGTTCCAATGGCAAGCAACTGCCGAGCTTGAGGAGGTTAGCACGTCAATTCCTGAAATTCCTGGTTTGTTTGTTTTTGTAGTTTTCTTGGGTGCGTTCGAGGTTTGTTTTGAGATGGCACTTGCTGTAAATGAACTCTTCTACGCATGGGTTTCATCTCAGACGTTGCGACCTGGCTGCCAGTGGGCTCGAGCCGGCTTTGCGCGCCGAGTTGCAAACAGGCGACTTGCAGATGGCCGAGGCTGGAGACCAATCGCTCTTGGAGCGATTCCATACTCTCTGCTGCAACTGGGATTGCGGAGATGGGCGGGGATGTTCGAATTCCACGGAGGCAGCTTGGCTCGAAGCAATCCTAATACCAGCCTTCCAAAATTCCCTTAGAATGTCTGGAAGTCCTTGCTGAGGCTGGGGGTGCAGAGGGGGTTTACAGGGGGCAGTTGGCCCAAATTGGGAGGCCCATACAGGTCCATAGGGGGTCAGTGCAACGGGAGACCACAGGTGGTCACAGAGTTGCGCGGGGTTCACAGAACGTGCATAGGAGCTTTCAATATTTTCAATCCGTCCAATTGATAGGGAGTCACAGGCGAGACCGTTCAAAGGTTCATTAGCGGTCTTGAGGAGCCATAGGGGAATTAGTATAGGTCCAGACGAAGCAAGATGTGGAGCTGTGAGGGTTGCGCAAAACGGCATGCGGAGGCAATCCCTGCTGGGCACCGGACCAAGCGAAGGGGTCGACAACTGGTCTCTTGACGCTGTGCTTGCCAGGGGGGCATAGGGCATAGGGTGGTCTAGGGTGGTCTGTTCTTTTACCTCAAACGCCTGTCCTCGGCGGACACGTCGGTGGCTGGGGGCTTCGGACGGATGCTCCAAGCATCCAAGCTCAATGAATGGCTATTTGGTTCCAGACATCTCTTGCCCCCAGGCATGTTGGATTACCTCTTGCCAGCATGTCCTGTGCGACACGCACGCCAAAGCCGGCTTCGCGAGCTCGGACGCGCCCCTGGGCGACTCATTTTTCGCAGTGGGTCGGGGCCCCCCTTTCGCCCAACCTGTAGGCCCTAACGCTCCTCAACCCATCATTCTGCCAACTGTAAGGTGCCCTGTTTGCAGCTTCGAGGGGGCCCGCGTGATCCGGGCCAGTCTGGCTAGGCCAGCAGGGCTTGGGCACTCTGTAACGAATGTAACGAGTCCTGAAACCGCTGGAAAATCATTCTCGTGCAAGATTTGCTTGTGGGGTTTTGATGTTTCAAGTTTTGAGCCCTGAGCTGCTGAATATATGTAGCCGTAGTCTGTAGTTGCTGTAGTTTGAGAACAGCAGGTCGGGGGGCAGCCAGCGATTCCAAAAGCCTGTCAGGGACAACCGATCAGAGGCCAAGAAGAGTTTGCTTCCTGGATTGGCCCCATCCGAGTCTTGCTCGGATTCGGCTGATAGCTTCGAGTTCGTACACCCCCCATAGATTCGGAATGTGTGTGTTGTTGATGTTGGCAGTGCACTGCAGAAACCCAGCGCTACTAGAAACACGAAACGCCAGCAAAAACAACATAAAGGATAAGGGGCAAAAGACCAAGGAAATTATGGAGGCTGCCGGTCGGAACATCGAGTTCTGGGTGCGGCAGAAGGCAGATGCCCACATGACCTGTTTGGCAATGTTTGAGAGATGTTTGAGAGATGTTTGAGAGATGTTTGAGAGATGTTTGAGTACCGAAAGTGTGGGCTCTCAAGTTGCAGAGGCCACTCGTAACTCACCAGGCTCTGGGCTTTGGGTTTGTCATGGTTTAGCCACGCCAACCACGAAATCTTGCGGTTCTGCGGGAGGCGTTGGAATCCTCCAGGCGTCGCAAGAGGTGCCTGAGCATGGAGGAGCAGATGCGGCTCCGGGACAAGCTGCGGTTAAGGGATGCCAGGCATGTACCATGGTTTTCCATGTCACGAGTTTGGTGCTAGTTCGAAAGTCCCTTGGGCGTGCTTTTGACTTGGGCAGGGGTCTCGAGGCACTAGACTTTCTGGCCCTTTGTAGCACCGCTTTTGTACCAATTGGCAGGAGCGCCTTGTCAGTGTGACTCAGACGGCGGAGGAGCTTAGAGCTAGAGCATGCTAGAGCCGAAACAGTCTGGCGGCATCACTGCATGCAGTTAATTTGGAGATTCTTCGCTGGATGCGCAGTTATACTGACGGCACCGGTGCATAAGGCGAATGTTATGTGTCATGCCCGCTGCGTGTGCTCCTTTCCAGGACCACATCCAGCAAAGCCAAAAGCAGCGCGAAGAGCTGGCTCAAGAGGAGGTTCCCTGTCAGAGTCTTTTGGCACGTCGAGCAGGATTTGCTTCGGGTGTGGGGAGGGCAGCTACCTATCCTGGGACGCTTTGGCACATTCTCTTCCCTGGAAGACGGCCTTTTCCCATGACCAGTGGGCGTGAACACGGGCATAGACAGATTCTGTTGGTCGACAAGTTCTGCCAGACCGTTGGTCAAAATCTTCTTGGAGTTTCGATATGCTCTCGTCAGTGCTGCTGCTGCTGCTGCTGCTGCTGCCGCCACCACTGGTGGTCCAGTGCCGATGATGTAAGCTGTCTCGTTTGCGCTCTCCATCTCCGCACTGAGCCTGCGGATTGGCGCCCAGGCTCTTCATCAGCGCGAACATAGAATAGAATAATATCGCCAAAAACAAAAATTGGAAGTCCAAGTGTTTGGATGCGGGTCACTGGTGGTTTGCTGTGGTTTTTCCGCCGCGGCCCAGCATGGCCCAGCAGGGCCCTCAGTTCCGGGTTCGGGGATGTCTCACAGCGCAGGCAGATTTGGAAAAGCGGCTGCAGATGCTGGTGCAGGAGAGCTTATCTGTCAAGTCTCCCGCGTTCTGTCCTCAGGGTCGAGCGGATTAGGTGTGTGTTCCTGGCCTGGAGATTCAGTTTCAGGATGCAAAGCAGTGTTCGAATGCTACAAGTTTTTTCAGCACCCAAGCAGAGAGGCTGGTCTTGAGCTTATTAACTTTGAGTGGGCTGAACGAAAGTGCGCGGCACATAGATCCTTTGAGGCTGGCGTTTTGAAGGTGTTGATACTTGTGGAGGGGGGCCCTGGCTGGCATGAACATGTGCATAATTAGCCTGAATTAGCCTCCCCCTTCGTGACCCATCCTGACCTGCCGGCCCCAAGACACAAAACGAGTTGGCCCATTTGCAGGTGGTCAGCCTCAAGATGTTTTGAGTGCCTACGCTCCCTAAATTCCCTGAGGAGCGCTCGGAAGTTAGCCATCAGATCGAGCAGCTGAAGCGAGAGTTCCTGGAAGCCGACGAACAAAGGAGCTGCCTGGATCTCCAGGCTGCGTTTCTCCTCAGCTCCCAAAGCTCAAACAAGTCTAAGCCGACCGAACCCCAGCATCTTCGTGGGGGTTGTGGGCGGATGCATGGCGGATGAACATATCCTGCATGAGTCTCCTAAATCTCTTGCGCAAGCTCTGCCTACTGGTTCTTGCTGCGCTCTACGCCCTATCTCAGCCTATCTCCTTGGTGACACGTGTCAAAAGAACTCCTTGCCTTGAGTAGGTGGGTGGCTCTGTGCGGGACGTTCTCCAGGGGCGGCCTATGCCCGAGCGGCGAGCGCCCGTGACTGCTTCAAGGCCTCCTGACATTCTTTCTGACTTTCTCCGTCGGGTTTCCGAGATTTCCGAGAGGGGCAATAGAAATCAAACAGAAGGCTCCACGAGCCGCAGCTCCGCGGTGGGGGCTACAGCTTCGAAGGCAGCTGAGAGGGTTAAGACTCTTAAGAATTGGTTTACTGCGGTTGAGAGATGCTTAGCTGGGTTTGGGGAGTGTGGCGGAGTGTGGGAATGTGTGGGAATGAGGTTGACAACCTTGCCTTGTCATGCAAAACCCTCGGTCCCCAGTGGAACCCAGAATCAAACCCGAAGCTTCTGCCGCTGTGAGATCCACCCTAAACCCAAGCCCTAAAACCAGCTAAGCGGGTGGCAAACAAAGTGTGTGTGTGTGGTTGCTGTACTGGCCAATGTGCCTGTGGTGTGCGAGTACTGCTGCAGTGGTGCCCGAATCCTGGCTTGCCGCGTGCTGCGAGTGCGAGACTCAAAGGCCTCAGCAAAAAGATTGTTATGGAGAAGGCATCAAACAAACGGAGAGTCATTGTTAGGGGATAGGCATCAAACAACGAAGAAAGGCACCAAACTCATTGTTACTGGCTCCCGGCACGTTGGCTTTGCTTGCTTCCAGACTTTGTTTTTGGTTTCTTGGCTTCTCGGCTGGCCTGTTGGCCTTGCGGGCTTTGCGTGCTTGTGGGCTTTTGGTTTCTTGGCTTCTCGGCAGCTGGCTTCTTGGCTTCTTGGCTTTTGCAGGCTTCTGAGCTGCATTTCGTTTGTTAAGCAACCTCCACCCCATTCGTTCCTAACCACCTGCTCGTTTAAGCGCTGCAATCTTGCTTCAATTACTGGGTAGATGTGGAAGTCCCGAAAGACGGAAGTTGTCCCAATTGCGCTGTGCCCTGGGGGAACACTGCAAAAAACTATAATGCCATGTCACATGGGCTATGTTCTCGGATGGCTTGTGTGGGCGTGCCATTCGGGAAAGGCCACCAACCCTGAAGCAGAAGAAGCAGAAGTTGAGCTCTCTTTGGCATACAGGTCGTTACTCGCCTCAATCTCTTCCCCATTTTACTAAAGACCACCCTAATCATAAAAACACTTTCCGGACAAAAACCCAAATCCACAAAACCATTTAAAACCCATTTTGAATTGGGGGGGTTTAGGGTTTGGGGTCTAGGGTTAAGGGTTTAGGGTTTAGGGCTTAGGGTTAATTATGACATTTCGAAAAAAACCTCGCCCTAATAATCAAAACGCATTTCGAGTTTGTTTTGGGGCGGGGCCCCGTTTAATATTAGGGGGAAGGGATTAGCGCCTTAATGGGCTGGGCGTTGGTCGGCCAACTTGCCGATTGGTTGCGGGAGCTTTCTGGATTACAGGTCAGCCTTTTAAACCACAGTCTCCGTCGCTCCGTTTGGCGCCCGCGACATCTGGAAGAATGCCACTGCATGATGACAAAGCTCCCTGTAATCTGGCTCGGTTCTTAAAACAGAGACTGTGCCCTGCGGCGGGGCCACCATTTGGGTTTCGCGACTTGGAACATGCTATCTCAAGGGTGTGGTGGTGTGAAGGCTCCCTGTAATCTTCTAGCTGCGTTTTGCAAGAAAAAGAGCCTGTGCCCTGCGGGGCGGCCAACAGTTGAAGATGTGTTGAGGGCCCTTGGCAGCTGCAATTTCGAGGGTACGGTCGTGTGAAGTCCGAAATGGTTTTGAAGACGTGGCTCTTGAAAACCGCTGTGCCCTCGGGGAACGGCCCCTGGGCCAACTTCTGCACACGTCAGGTATCTTCTGTGCTAGGGGGCTGGGGTAACTTCTGACTTGTGGGGTAACCAATGGTAACCAACACGAGTATCGTGCCATCAATGCGCTTTTGGCGACTACTACTAGGACTCGCGTGCGTGGTTGGCCACGAAGCCCAAAAGCCAAGAAGCCGGCTCGAAAAACAATAAGGTACCGACAGACAAGACACACAATGGTCTTGCTCTTCATTTGCTGTGGCCTTCGAAGATGCATGAAAGGTCTAGTCCAATGGTTCATTAATTGTTCACCCGCGACACCCTGGGAGACGACTGGGAGAACACTAACCGCTTTTCCTTGTAAAGTATGTGGGACGTCGTGGCTTTTCGATAAGAACAATAGTTGGCAGAGCTTTTCCTGTCAAAGTGTAGATGAAATGGGATGAAATAGGCGATTCGTTATAGAAAACAGGGGCTTTCCCATTGACAAGAAGGAGGAGGCAGAAGCTAAGTATAGAGACCATGGAGACGCCACCCATTTTTACGAACAACTTGAGGTTTTGCTTCGAAAGCAAAAGGGTTAGTAGGCAGGTTTCCTGTTGCCATCCCTCCATGCTCCCCAGAAAATCCAACAAAAAACGCAGACGCACACGCATCCCCGCGACACATCAGCGAAGACAAATCCTGAACCCTTTGAACCTGTGCCTTGGTTGGCGGCTTGGTGCGAGAGTCGAAGCCAGAAGACCCCGAAGGTGCCGGGCTGAGGCGAAGCCGGAGCCGCTCTCCCGGGAGGCTTGCAAACCAGGTCGAGGCGCCCCCGAGTTCTTCAGGGGGGCTTAAACGGTTGAGGGCCCAGGGGGGTTTCAGCGCGTTTGGGGAATGTTTAGGGTTGAGGGCGTGCTTCTAGTTCCCTGAGAAAGGTGGGCATGTAGAGTTCGCTGCGGTTGGGATTTTGCGGACGGGTGTCTGGGTGTCTGGTTCGTTGTCTTTGTGTGGGTTTCAGCTGGTGCTGCTGCTTTCTGGGCTTTTAGCTGCTACATGAATTGAGGATGTCATGGAAAACCCTAAACCGCAGGTCCTGCGTTACGGGTTCTTCGGCAGGCGGGCCTCGACGACTTCTTTGTCAAGCCGAACCTTCTCGAGCGTTGTTCTGAGAAGGAGCGCGGTGTTGAAATTGAGGGATGGCTTTTTCCCTTCTGGTGGTGGCGAGTTCCTTTGAAGTATCTGCGTATGCCTCATCTCTTCCTTCCCGAACATTCCGATCCCCGCTTCCTCCTCCAACCCCCCCTCAAAACGCTAGACCCGCCTCGTCACGATCCCCGAAACCCCAACCCGGACGAGCCTGAGGGGTCGGGGGATTCAGGGCCGAGGGCGCGTAGTGCGAAGGCCGAAGAGTAGGCGGCCTGGTCGTTTCAAGCATCTCCAAACTTGCAACCCTCGGGAAGTTTTAGCCGTTGGCTGCCGTGGTGAGGGCTAGAATTTGACATTTGGATTTGATTTATTATAGAGGTTGTACCTCGGGCCTATAAAACAATGAGTGTACGATGGCGAGCGAGGGAGGCTTTGCACTATCTAGCTGGTTTAAAGTTTAGGATTCCGGTGATGAAACGGCGCCCCAAATTCCGAACCAAGACCCGATTTTGTTGGCCCCCAACCTGTCAAGCCCAAATCTCGCTCCATGAAGGAGCCCCCCCGCATGGCCCGCGCACCCGCGAGCCCGTCTCCCTTCCCGGACAGCAGCCGGGCTCTGTTCATGTGGCGGGATCCCGAAATTCGCTCGGGCTTTTGGGTTGTCCCTGAAGCATTTTGAAGCTCTGAGTTGTGCTTTGTTGCACCCCGATAACCCAAACGAGCGCAGCCTGCCACCCTCAACTGCACTGCGCCCGTCGGATGCCAAGGCGGTGCGCAAGCCTTCCGCCGAGAGTCGCAGAATCTGGTTTGGTCACAGAAACTTTTTTTGGCAGCGTTTCCACCCATTCAGGGTGGTATTCCTCAGATCAGATGGAAGCTTCTCCTGCCTTGGCCTCCCAAAAGTATACATGTGCAAGCCGCAAGGTGTAGTAAATCCAAATTGACCGCGAGAAGGCTTCCTCAGACTCTCCAAACTTGGCCAATCTGGACAGGACGCTTACGCCGGGCTTCTTGGGAGGAGCTCGTCAAGGGCGGCGCCGAATTACCTGAGGGGCTTCTCCCGCAAGAACGTAGTGGGTCTTGATGCTTTGAGGCTTTGGGTTTAGGTTTTCGCTGATGAGTGAGTTCGGAGAGCAAAAGACGTTATGCTAGTGAAGCCTAAGGATTCGGGGCTTTCTTCAGGGTTGTTCCTGGCCGGGGATGTGTTGTACTTGCCGGCTTGGGAGAGCGTTGGCAAGGATTGACGCGTCCGAAGCCCGGTAAAGGTGTCACAGTTCGTGTTGATAGGGTTCTTGACCGAGCCCTCAGTGGCATCGGCAGAAGTCTGGGGCAACACGCCGATGGGGGCACCGCTGGATTATTGGGTCCGAACCAAATCAGAAATCCTGGAGCCTGGAGCAGCCCAGGCCTTCACATCCTTCACCGTTCCCCGAGCCCTAGAAGTAGCCTCAAATCGAAGTGCGCGCGAAGCGCCTTCAAGTGCATCGCTGTGAGTAGGACTTCTTGGGGTGTAATCGAAGCGGCCGCTTCTGAGCCAGCGGGTGACAAAAGAGTCCAGTGCTTTTTGAGGGTTTCCCCCCTGATTTCCGAAACCGGCCTTAGACTAGGCTCGTGCATGTACCAGTCGCCAGTAGCGCTGCTGCTTCTGCAGAGCGCGGCCATAGTGTGCAAGACTTATGAAAAGACAACATGCCGAAAAGCCCTGCCCCAATCATTCAAAACTCTCACTGAATGCCCGTCTGCACCACAAACCACCCATGCAAGCTCTTTGAACGACGGTGCATCTCCTGCTTCGGGGTCGAGACTTGCAAGGGATCCCAAACCCTGTCCCAAAAACCTGTCACAAACCGTTCAAATTGCACTTCAAGCACTGCATGCTGACGCTCCAAGTCTTAAGACTAAGACTCCCCAGACCTCCGAGAATGGAAGCCGAAAAGCAACGAGGCTGCCTGAACTTCTGGGCGTGCCACCCTTCGCGGGGGCACCCCCGCCCCTGTCCAGTCTTGCGCCGCCACTAGGCCGGGATGGGTTCAACTCATCAGCATACCGTGCTGCCCTACGCCCTCAACCCTTGGCCGCATTTGGCTTCACATGTCTTCTGCTGACCAGATTGCATGGATCGAGAACTGTCGCAGATGGGGTAGTTGTACCGGTCGGACAAACTCCCTGGACGACCCGACCCGCGCGCGAGTAGTTGGCTCGTATCCGCCCGTGCAGTGAGTGAGTGCAGTGTAGTTTCCCCTGCATTTTCTGTGTTTCGCGCAGCTTCGATCGGAAACTCTGTGTTGGTGGGGCGGGAGGGGGTGGGGCGGTTGCATTCCAAATTCGCAATCAAACCTCTGTTTGGGTTGGGCTTCTGCCTTCGCGTGAGTTGGCATGCAGATGCAGGGCTTGAGGCCTTTGCGTTGCTTGGCTAGATCTGGGGAGGAATTCGTAGATTTCCAGGCCGCCAACATTGCCCGTCACCCAAGGTCCCCAAACCCTGAAACTTAGACACGGAAGTAGTGCTTTGAAATGCACCTGCGCGTTGAAAAGGCTGTGTTTTGGATGACAGAAGTGGCTCGGGCTCCTCGCGCAGATCCGACTCACATAGGCAAGTCTGGAACCGACATGGCCTGTTGTCAAGAGCGTGCCCGGAAAACACTGCAAGCCCAATTGCGGTGTGGGGTGTGGTGTGAGACTTTCTAGGCAGGTAGCAAAAACTTGAGCAAAGATTTGCTTTTTTTTGTTTGGGAATTCTCATGGTGCCAGGACCCCCGCCCCCGATGTCGACGGTGCCGATGGTCACGACCCCCATCTCGTCCCTGCCAAATGCGCCGGCGCCAGCTCCTACACAGGCTTGGGGAGTTCACTCCCCGCTGCTGTCCATAGAACAAAGCAACCTGCAAGGCTTGATTGTCTGCGCATAGGTATCATCAGCAGTAGCAGCCAACCCTTGGCGAAGACTCACGACCTAGCAAAAGATGCGCCCCCGCACCTCGGTTTCCACAGGCTCGTGTGGCCTCGCCTCGAGCATGACATGCAACCAGGCTCCCGAGCCAGTGCCGGAGAAGAAAGACAGCCCGCGATCCGTCCCAAACTTGGACCCTGACAGGATTCGGAGTCGAGGTTTAAATCACATCGCTGCAGTAATCGGACTCGTGGGGGCTTTTGGTTCCGCGTTCTTCAGTGATGCCTTCGAGGCTCCCAGTATGTATTCCAATGTATTCCAGTATCCCTACTCCCCCCCGGCCGAGGCCAGCTGTAGCCTAAGCATCCTCCAGATCGTTAAATCAACGTGAAATGGATCAAAAACGCAGGTGGTTGAAACCTTCCGCACGCTAAATCTGCAGCTTTTTGATGGGCGTATGGGGCGGGAAGTCCAGGCGTGGGGTGTGCACTCTCTCTGTCTCTCTCTGTCTCTCTCTGTCTCTCTCTGTCTCTCTCTGTCTCTCTCTGTCTCTCTCTGTCTCTCTCTGTCTCTCTCTGTCTCTCTCTGTCTCTCTCTGTCTCTCTCTGTCTCTCTCTGTCTCTCTCTGTCTCTCTCTGTCTCTCTCTGTCTCTCTCTGTCTCTCTCTGTCTCTCTCTGTCTCTCTCTCTCTCTGTCTCTCTCTGTCTCTCTCTGTCTCTCTCTGTCTCTCTCTCTCTCTCTGTCTCTCTCTCTCTCTGTCTCTCTCTCTCTCTCTCTGTCTCTCTCTCTCCGTCTCTCTCCGTCTCTCTCTCTCTATCTGTCTGTCTCTCTCTCTCTGTCTCTCTGTCTGTCTCTGTCTCTCTCTGTCTGTCTCTCTCTCTCTCTGTCTCTCAGTCTCTCAGTATCTCTGTCTCTCTGTCTCTCTGTCTCTCTGCCTCCCTCTGCGGGATTCCATGAGTCATGCACTCCAGAAATATTTTAAACGAGTACCGTGCGGGGTCTGTGTGGCGTGCTCTGGGGTGGACACTCACGGGATTTGTGCAGGCACTCCAGAGGTTCTCTGTGGGTTGAAACTAGAGTCTAACTAGAGTCTGGAGTCACTAGAGTACAGGAGACCAGAGAAGGCCCAGATAGCTGAGTTCATCCATAGCAACCCCGTAGCAGAGGGAACAACGACTCAGCGAGGTCATCCTGAAGCTGACCGGGGCTTGGGGTGCGCTGCCGGGTGCCTGGTGCGGCTGGTGCGGGTGACTTCTGAGGACTTCTCAAGACTTCTGAAAGGGGTTGGCGGGGACGTGTTTGCTGTTGCATAGCACGGATACTCGGGGAAATGGGAACATTCCACCGTTTGGGTGAATTGGGGTGCAACTTCCTGAACATCCACTATCCCTGCGTTTTGAGGGCCAACGGCAAGCATGCGACCGACGGCGATGCAGGCAAGACTGCTTTGCAGGGTTCAGTGCATATTTGGCGTACTCGTCGGAAGTCGGAAGATTTGAAGGCCATGTTGTGATTTATGAGCGGAATGTGATCTAGTCGGTTCTAGGATTCTAGGCTGGGCTGTTAGAATCCAGGGGTGCCTTGCCCATAGCAGCCTGTAACTCATTCGAACCCTGCCCTAATCCGAAACCCTAACCTTTGAGCTTGGGAGCCTGGCGAGGCTCATGGGCTGTTAAGGGGCCTGCGTTGGTAAACATGCCTTCATCTTTCTGAAGCCCGAGTACTCTGGTAGCTGCCCCTTTTCGCTTCACGCCCCTAAAACCTTGTTCAGGGTGGACAGTTAACGATACGAATTAGTAATCTATGGCGCGCGTGAGCCCATAGGGTTTTTCAGAATCTGCAACGCAATGCCAAAAACCGGACCTGTATACTGCTGCATGTTGCCTGAGGCGCTTTTGGTGTCGAGGTGGCGGCCGCAGCACGGGGGGTTTGCGGATCATGGGCTACGTTTGGGTATTGTTGGGTATGCCATTGGAGACCCAGTATCCCGATACACCCTGATGATGGATACTGTTGTACGAGCGAAACCTGCCCTTAGACAGAAACCCCTGGACCCTGCCCGAAATGTGCAGTTCGCTGCTTGGCGGCTGGTGCATTCCTTTTTGGCCCTCAGCCCCATAAACCACGGGTAACCTCCAGTCCACGCCATGTCGCGCAATACAACAAAGACATGCGTATGATCAGTAGTCCCTTTTCGGGGACCCTGCGTCATAGTGGAATCGGGACCCCGCAATCCATAATGTTGACGTTTGTTGCATAAGATCTAGGCACCCAGAGCCCTCCTAAGCCCTTCTCCCAAGGCTTGCGGCGATGTCCTCTCGAGACAGAACCTTTTGGACCTACGGTTCCCTCAGGCGAATCGGGAGAGCCATCTTTGGGGAGAGCCATCTTTGGCGTTCAAGCGCCGAAACCCCGAAGCCAAAAAGCACGGCAACCACTCCAACCAGTATGCTGGCAGCTTGCAGCTAGCAGCTTTCCTGTCCCACCCTCCCCCGCTCCACCCACCACCCACCCACACAAAGTCATGTAGTAGTCATGCAGTGAATACATCTTTCAGGTCTTTGCCATTGTGCTAGCCGCTAACCGTGCAGTACTGCGTTGTGGGATCCTCTCGTCCAAAAAACCCTTCCACCGAACCTGAGCTTAGAGTCAATTTGCGGCGGCTCTTCTTTCTTTGTCGTGGCCACAGGACCTAGTTTGTGGCATGGTCGCTGTAATACTGAAGTAGATGCCCTGTTATTAGTCCCTGAAGGCCATGCCGCCCATGTGCGTGCCGCCCGCGCGACTCTAGCCATCGAATAGAGTTCGAGAGTCACAGTTGCAAGGCAGAAACGAACTTGACACCCGCAGACGAGAGTTTGCAGCATCACTCTTGTAACAGAGCGTAGGCAGCGTAGAGGAGATGAGAGTGCGGCTTTGGCTCATCCTCGTGTTATGCCAAGGATGATGATGAAGAGGGGGCCTCATCGTGCTGGAGGCAAGCGTGGCTTTACACAACGGTTGCACCAGAAACTTAGAAACTGCAATGATTCTCAGCGTGCGTGCTCTCTCACACTGGCCTTGACTCGCTTTCTCGCTCTTACTCTAGTTTGCTCTCTCTCTCTCTCTCTTTCTTTTTTTTTTTTTTCTCTCTCTCTCTCTCTCTCTCTTTCTCCCCCTTTCCCTCTTTCTCTCTAGGGCCGCGACAAGCAGAT